AACTCTTGGACTACTCTTTTACCAACGAATAGTTGGATTGACCGTCACATTATAACGCCCCCACGGCTGAAAGGGCGAGCATGTTTGGTGGAACGGGGATTCGAACCCGTGACCCTCAGATCGAGAGTCGAACTCCCTAACCACTTGGCCATGCCGGGCCCAGACGGGACACAGTAATATTTTTTTTATTTTACACAAAGTAAAAAGTGAGAAGAAATTAAAACACCAAATTTGCACTCTGTTTTCCATAGTAGATATTAATAGCTTCTATACAGTATTCTACAGGATCACAGCAACCCTCATAAATATTTTATATCAATTTTACTCGTCTTACGAATGACTAATATAATTTATAAAAAGAAATCTAAGTAATATCCTTTTAGAATTATTAACTCCTTCCTTCTACCGCGAGAGAGAGAGAGTGTGTGTTCCCATGCTTTAATCATTCCAGCACGCCTGCTTGTGCCTAATTATTTTTTTGGTCCACAACTACTTGACACAAAGGAAGAACACACATTTTTAAAGTAAAAGATGTTACAGTTTTCATTTTTATAGCTCACGTGGAAAATTCCCACACGAATGTCTTCTTTCTTCATACATAATTCACGAATAACATCTACGAGAAGTCTCTCGTTAAGGTCTCGAGGCTTATTCATTTAACGAAAGCTAGTTTGTTCCAAAGAAAAATGTGAAGTAATTTGTCCAAAGCGGAATACAAGGGGTAGGATTTGCAGCTTACGGTAACGAGCACGTGATCTAATCAATTAATACCTTCACTAATTGCTGATAAGCGTTTTTTTTTTTGTCTTGTTTTGGGGGAGGATTAAAGTTTCTATTTCATAAATTCTAACTGACATATATCGTGACCATCGTCGTGACTGACTGATACACTTGTTTACGATTGCAAAGATATAAGGACGAATTAAAGATTAACTTGCCTCTTCTCTCATCATCAGCCCCCCCCCCCTCCAGTGACACAGCGGCATGTCTGCGGAGTTACAACGCTAGAAACCGGGTTTCGATACCAATATTTTAACACTAAACAAGTGAAAAGAAAAAATCACTTATTTATTATTTTGTTTATATTCTATATCCACGTCTCATTGCTTTGTTTTAACTTTTCTATAAGTTGTGAACAATTAAAATATGATTAAATCTAAACGTATAAAAAGCGTAATAGCAGTAAAAGCATGATTAAATTTAGAAACCGTATTGAATCGTGATGTATTTTCATTCAGCATCTATTGTGACCAACAAGTTATTCAGGAAAAGGGATTTTAAAGTGTTTTTCCAAGAAAGCAGACCGTGTCTAAGAGTTGTCAGCATCATTCTACTCTGACCTGTTAGCTTTACATAGTCCATGAATCGCACAGTTGTCTATCTTTGACATTTCTTTTAATTGGTAGTCCTAAAGTGCATATGTTAACAGTCCACGCATCAAGTGGCCTGACATATATTTTTGATAGTTAATTTGCTACTTATTCCAGAGTAGTCATCTACCTTATAGAAACAACCAATGAAAGTATTTGCACATATTTAGTTGGAGTGTCGACAAAACATTTTTATCATTTTCTAGTTATGTATTTATTTGTATATACATTATATTACGATGGGATAACAACAAATATCCTTGAAAGTGACGGTAACATACCTTTACAAGGGTCTGGTGGTTAGGGCGCTCGACTCGCAATCTGAGGGTCGCGGGTTCGAATCCCCGTCACACCAAACATGCTCGCCCTTTCAGTCGTGGGGGCGTTATAATGTTACGGTCAATCCCACTATTCGTTGGTAAAAGAGTAGCCCAAGAGTTAGCGGTGGGTGGTGATAACTAGCTGTCTTTCCTCTAGTCTTACACTGCTAAATTAAGAACGGCTAGCGCAGATAGCCCTCGTGTAGCTTTGCGCGAAATTCAAAAACAAACAAACAATACAAGGGTCAACTGGGTTTTTAAACTTTAACATTTCGGTCTACTGGGTGAAATAAAAACATAGCTAACAAAATACAGTTTACCTGGATCAAAGTTTACAAGATGTTTACACAGTCATGTTAAATTGTTAAGACAAAAGAGCAAACACTTCATGCTATTGACTTCCTATTTTGACATTTTCTTACGTTGCTTGGTATTGATGTATAGTCCTTTGGTCGTCATTAATAACCTAAAATACTTAAAGTGTTTGGATAACTTGTGACATACCGTCACAATTAATTACCCGTTATTATTCAGCGGACTCTTATGCAAAACTAGAAGCAACGAATCAAATAATAGATAAAGCTTCTACGTCATCTTTTTCTTCACTGAAATTTACGTGTTGTTGAAGAAAATTAATTCCCCTTCTTATATATTCGGCGACACTCTACATTGGAATACAGATGTTTTCAACAGTATTATATTGGAATAATCGGTGAACAATGCTATCCTTATCGATATTGAGGGATACTAGAACTTTGAGGATGTAAATCTATATATATATATATATATATGTGTGTGTATAGTAATAGTACTGTCTGTTGTATGTCCAGATGGATCTTCACCAAATTTGGCATGAAGATTTGTTGGGTCCATGGGGAGATACATGCAAATTTCAGTTTCACATTTTGTGTTTTGCAGTTTTTATAAGCGTTTTTTTACAATTACATATAAGGGAAGCAACGTTTTATGATAACCTTTCATTAATCATGAATTTACATAATTTCCGTCCAGGGGACGAGTACTCCAGTTAGTATCACGATATGGTAAATATTAATTAGCTAATTTTAATTTTAGAATCAATCGTTTCGGTGAGGAGAGCTATTGTATCAATTTATTCTTAGGTATGATACGACTAAATACGTGTAACAAAATCACTCACATTTTAAACTTTTTGTCGACGTATTTTGACCCAATACACAGGACTATGGTGAATTGGAGAACTGTTAAAGCTCAGAGAATAAAAGATGATTTATTTAACCTTAGTTACTAATTTTCTATTGATAAATATATTTTAACTTGGGATTTAATGTTGACAGATTTTTGTGAAACTTTTATCTACTTGAACGCCACTGTATATACTTCTCCCATGTATAGGCTCATTTTTCAAACTATGAAATTCACGAGTCACTTGGTTCGATGATAAGGTTGATTTATGTGTAGTGTAGATAGTCATGAATGTCATATTCTACTGTGTCCAGTTAATATTTCTCTTTCTTTTTGTTTCAGACAGTTATATAAATAAGATGTAAAATACAAAATATAACAAGTTAGAAGAGTAGTCATATTGGTTCATAATTAAACACATCAATTAATTAGAAGTTACGACTTCCCTTTAAGTAGGATTATCTGTGCTGTTCCCACTACGGGTATCGAAGCCCGGTTTTTAGCGTTATAAGCCTTCAGACTTACCACTGAGAGCTGTACTTTAAGATAATTTGAGGAAAACATATTAATTTTTAGCAGTGTCCGTTGTAAGAGAATAACAAGAATGGTTATTTAGTATAAATAGAGTTACGTACCTGGCAAAAAACGAAGCTGCTGCCGAAGGCTGCGAAACGTCCATAACTGGACCACAAGGAGAACTATAAGAAGTTTCTTGAAGATAAGAAGACTGCGAAAGACCGCTGTAGGAGAAGGAGTGTGGAAAGGAGTAACTCTGTGACAAAGAAACGTTTTTAGTTATGTCTAGCCCTCCTGGGACTTCAGTCAGTGGCTTGACAAACACTCCATGACCTACTGCACTACTCTGAAAACCTCCACTGGAGGGATAATTATGGCTGTTTGACGAAAACAAACCTTTGGACAAATGTATGTCATTGATGGTCACTGAACGATGATCATCCAACTGAGTGGGCGTATATCCGTACATTCTGGAATCACTGGCAGTTGAGCCATTAATCTCTCGGAGTGACACCGTAGAACAGTACGAATCTGCTCGAGCGTCTGAGGCTGTCAACAAATAAGATTGTGCCTAAAAGGGAATATATATAAATAAATATAAGTTTTTATCTATATCTACTTCCCCATCTATAAATTATAGTCTTTAAATAGCTAAGTTATCACAACGTTAGCGGCTTCTAAGGAGGCGAATTTCTTTTATTACAGACCACGATAGTAAGTCATTTTGGTCTAGAAGTCTGCTAATATAAATTCGTCTTTTAAACTGGCAAGTAGTAAAACTATTTTCAAAATTAATACAAAATGACAAATACGTATTAAGAATTATTCTTATACTTGGATTTGGATCCAGAAGGTTTTCGAATAAAGCTTTGAAATACGACAAGAATTCCAACTTGAGCATGATAATCAAGATGATAACTTCTTTAAGTTTTTCACGTGTTTGAACGCAACAACGACATTGAAAAACATAAAATTCACACACACACACATACACAGTTCAAGTAACATCAGTTTAATTAGATACAAGTGGTAACTCACAAATATTTTTCTTTGGTGGACTATTGAGAGACAAATGAAGAATTTGGAGTTTGTCATTTCACAAATGGGGAAAAAATACTAGTATATGAACAATGTTTCTAAATAGAATGCAAGAAAGTCGCGTTTTTATGTCAACTAACCTCAACAGTCTTCGAGATGAAAAAAAAATTTTAATGTTAGCTTCATAGCTATAACAGTAGAACGACATGGCAGCATTCCAGCCGCCTAACAATGACACCACTGTCGCGTAGCCTTGATTGCAAGATTTCGTCTAATATTTAGTCTGTCCTTCAACAACTGCGGTCCCCCATTGGCACAGCGGTATGTCTGCGGACTTACAACGCTACAATCCGGGTTTCGATACCCGTGGTGGGCAGAGCACAGATAGCCCATTGTGTAGCTTTGTGCTTAATTATAAACAAACAAACAGTAAAATTATTTACAGAAGGTTTAACCACCCAGTGGCACAGCGGTATGTCTGCAGACTTACAACGCTAGAATCCGGGTTTCGATACCCGTGTTGGGCAGAGCACAGACAGCCCATTGTGTAGCTTTGTGCTTAATTACAAACAAACAACTGCGACAATATTTTTTTCGTTGAAACTATTAGCAGCTGCAAGCCCGGATACATAGGACGGATGATAGACAGTTCAACGCCACACTATCCGCAAAACCGTTGTGTGTATTTTCTGTAATTATGAAATATTCGAACAAATACTTGAATATTATAGCGCCCATAAAATTTTACTTATTTGTCATCGGATTGTTATATAAATAAGAAATTTCAAAAGAAATCAACGTTAAAAAAAATCTGAATGACTTTTGTACTACTAAGAAATGTATTATCAAAGGTCTGGGCTAATTGTGGCCCAATGGTTAGCGTCCCGGATTGTGGAGCTAACGTGGTTCGTGTCCCGTTACTTGTCATTAGATTGTTATATAAAAAAAAATTCAAAAGAAACGAACAATTTGAGACGCTAAAAAATGTAAACGACATTTATACTACTAATAAATGTATTATCAAATGTTTGTACCAAGCGTGGCCCAATAGTTAACATCCCGGACTGTGGGGCTGACGTGGTTCGTGTCCCGTTACCGCCCTCTAAAAAATGGTGCTGTGGATACCTTATAGAATTGAGTTTCAAAAGTCACTATTTGTCTGACAAAAGTAGCCCAAAAGTTGGCGGTGAGTGATGTTGATTACTTGTCTTTCCTCTAGACTCTAGTTTCATAGTTAAAGACAGCTAGCGCATAACATCATAGGGGCTCTAGTGTTGTAAGTCCGCAGACATACCGCTGTGCCATTAGCGGTATATCAGCAAACGTACAACACTAGAAACCAGGTTTCGATACCAGTGGTGGGCAGAACACAAATAGCCCAAACATCATAGGTTTGTCTCTCTTTACGTAGAAACATCGTGTGTAAAAATGCGTTTCGAATGAGAAAAATGTGATCAAATTTGAAACATAAGCTGTCAGTTTTGTCATAATATATACATTTGGCGAAATGTACGATTATTAGTGATCACGGAGTTATTTCTGTTCAGAATTATGTCACTCTTGATTATTGGGAAATACATTTGACGAAATGTACGATTATTAGTGATCACGGAGTTATTTCTGTTCAGAATTATGTCACTCTTGATTATTGGGAAATACATTTGAGTACTTGTTAACATAGGTCTATATATGACATTTTGATATTGCTTGTTAAATCACTCGTCATCTGTGATGTGACAGATTAATTAAAACAACCGATTACACATCTCTCCATACAGATATTAGTATTAAAACAATATCTTGAGAATCATGAGCTAAGGTAATATAAAATCATATACACCAAGTTTGCGAAGCTTTATAACTATAAATCCAATATTCTGTCTTATGATCACATAGAAAGTCAATATTTTGAAATGGATCTCAACATCCGCGAGTTCATAAAATAATCATTATAACCTACCTACAGGTCGAGGATGCATGTGCAGGAGTAACAGATATTCATCCCATTTACTGTAGAATGGACTATTAATGCACGTGTAGGGGAAAGCTGTGATTAGGTGGTCATACTTAACTGCTCGTGCTGGATAAATTAGACTTCCTTTAATGTTTGTGAAAGAGTGAACATTCGATTTGCGACATTGGGACAGTGCACTACGTAACATATACTTTTGAAACTAATAATGGCTGGAGACGGCTTAAATACTTATACTTTTGAACCGATTACACATCTCTCCATACAGATATTAGACGGCTTATACTTTTGAAATTGTACCCCCTAGAAATCAGATAATTCATAAAAAAAAAGTGAAACTTTTGTTTTGTATCTCGATACCAAGTAAGATAAAAGATGCAGAAAAAAAGGAAATTGACCAACAGCGGTGTCTGCTCCCATCTGTATCAGCATACTTTTATCATATATAACAAACGACAAAAAACAACATACAACCACTCGTTCCTCTTTTTTGTATTCTTTTTTTTACAACTTTAAGTTCTTTCAGTTAGTGAGTCTCTATTTTTTATCCACTCGTAGGGTGATGACAAGCGTAACGGGAGGAGAGAAAAAGTGTTCTATAATGATGCCTCACATCAAGGATGAGAAGGGAAGAAACGGAGTAGGCCAACAAGTTACGTCGTGGTGAAGTCAGTAACAGCTGGCTACGCACGTCGCTTTCAAAACCTAGCCTTAATCCTTGTCTACGGACGGACACGTCCGTCAGTTTCTTGACTTTTCATTTTATAAAACGTCAAAAGATATTTCATCGTACAAATCATTTTTGATTTGCTCAAGAATTTAGCAACATTATGTTGTGTTGCTACATCTATTATGGAATAGACAAAGAGAAGTTTTTTGCAATTCCTTTAAAGGTTTAAGTTGTAATTAATGTATGAAAATCCAGGTACTTACGCCAGATAACCTCAAAAAGCATCTTCTCACAACTGTCAAACGGCACCTTAAGCGGCACGCGAACTAAACACCAGGTCAGAGAACCCAAAGGTCGGGTATAGTCGTCCCTAATGAAGAACTGGGAGGTCAACCAGTTAGAAGTACCCTCCACCTACACAGCTACTCATAACCGAATATTAGGATTGGCAGTAACTTTTATAACGCGCCCAAATGTGAAAGTGCGGAACGTGTTCTAAAGTATATTGCAGCTTCAAACTTTGATGTGCACCATGGAACGCTATAATCACTAAGCCACGCCAGGCCTAAATAAAGCATTATTAAGCTTTCGGTGAGAAGACGAAGAGATAACCCAGGATTAATCAAGAGCGCATTTCAAAACAATCTGGTGTGGCATGGCGTTTAGGGTGCTCAGGATGAATATCAGAGACCTCAAGATTCATGACACGTTTCTGCAAAAACGTGTTCCGCACGTTAGGACTAGGGAAATGCTATATAGTGTCGGAAACATCCAATGGTTCACATAAACAATAGTAGCCCAACAGTTGGCAGTGGGCGCTTTTGACAAGTTACCTTCCTTCCAGTTTATTAGTTCAAAATTAAGGACTATTACTATCTGTATCTTTGCATAAAAATTGTAAAACAAACACAACAGCAGTTAAAAATAACCCAAAATAACAGAATAAAAAATAAAAAATAACCCAAAATAACAGCATAAAAAATAAAAAAAATAACCCAAAATGGTACCACTCATTTTTATTTCTAATAATCTGGGAAAAATTAATAATTATGTGAGTAATTTCAATTAGAAATAATGAAAAAAACTAGACAATAGGGAGAAGGACAATGATCTAAGCATGTGAATTTAGTTACTCGTGTTTATGTAAGTATGAAACATTACTTAAGTAAACCAAAGACTTTCAGAGACAGTTTTTAAGTTTGTAGCTATACAATTTGCTATCTGTGCTGTGCCCACCACGAGTATCGAAACCCGATTTTTAGCGTTGTACTTCCGCATACATACATACCGCTGAGCCAGTGGGGAGCTGGTAGCTTTTAAGCATAATTTCATTTCTTGCAAAAAAATTTTAACCTTACTTGTACTGCATTTTGATATTGAACCCCCCAGTGGCTCAGCGTTAAGTCTGAAAAGATATGATGTTGAAAAATCGGGTTTCGATACCCGTGGTGGACATAGTAACTTTGTACTTAACAACAGACAAACCCATTAAAATGTAAAGGACAGCCTGTAATTGAATGAATAGTAATTATGATCCAGGTTTCGTTAATATTTTAAGTTGGACGTTTTATTACGCTTTTCGTACCTTTTTGTTTTTGTTTTTTGTAATACGTGGGACAGCGGTAAGTCTACTACGGATATACAACGCTAAATTGAGGGGTTTGATTCCCCTCGGTGGACGCAACACACACAAATGCCCCCCAGTGGCACAGCGGTATGTCTGCGGACTTACAACGCTAGAATCCGGGTTTCGATACCCGTGGTGGGTAGAGCACGGATAGCCCATCTTGTAGCTTTGTGCTTAACTACAAACAAACAAACAAATATTTGTAATAAAATTTAAGAACTTGAAAAACATAGTCCGTAGTGGTTTTATGTTTACAAGAAGTGTGAGCGAAGAAGGTACGGCATGCCTGTTGTATCTTAGCCTAAATAGGTATTATTACGTGCTATAATACCTGGAAAAAATCATAGCAAACTACCTGTTCATATTTCGGTTTCATCCAGGCTCTAACATTTTCTTCCAAGTAATGTTGAGCTTGTTGAACAATAGGTAGCGAGTTGTTTTCTCCAACAGGACCGGAAGTGGACGTAGTTGTGCTCCCGGAACTGCTGTTTCTTGTTCTTCGTGACATCCTTAAAAAATAAAACAGAATTGTATGAACGATCATACAAACGCAATTGGCAATACATTTTGCTCGTATACGTATATATATATATATATATATATATATATGAATATTTGTTAGGCCTAAATTTATTGTGCTATAGAAAAGTTAATAATAATAATAATAGACTTAAAAACAAAATGGTTATTTATTATAGACAGAAACAAACAAACAAACAAGATAGGTAATTAATATAAAGCGTTTTTAAGGAAGTATGATATTTAAACATGTAAGTAATAACGTAGATATAACTTAATTTATCTTATACGTCGTTTCAGTTTCACTTGAAAGCGAGAGAAATAAATATTACGCGGCAACAAACGTCATGTTTTAGTTAATAGTTCAGTTTTATTTTCGTGTGTGTGAACTCACGTGTTTAATATTATTTCTCTTTACCAAAAAATTAAAGCGTCGTAACGTTTCTTTATATATAACGCTTCAGTTCTACTGACAAAACGTTTCTGGTGATTGTGTTATTTCTGATTTCTTTCCCTTACTGAAATAAAACCCGAGGGATGCAGAGAAAACAGCTGAACATATTTTGACAGATTAGGTGTTCCAGATTCTTCCTTCTCTTTGGTACAAAAATATTCTTTATCATTTCTGGAATGTCTCTTATATTAGTTTATTTTCTGATGTTTGTATTATGTATGTGTGAATCACACGTGATGTTACTATGGTTTTCACTCCAGTCCTCAGTTACTTCTGTAGTTTCGTAATGTTTGAAATAGATGTATATCCCCAAGCGTGTGTCAACGCAAATAAGCATTTTCCACGTGGCCTTTAAATAACTAAAACCTCTTTCTAGGCTTTCAGAAAACGTTTTTTTAACGTCATATCTCTCCATTTCGGGAATAAATATAGTACTGAAGGTGTTTAGAAGTAATTCTTACAATAATTCGGTCCAAAGTAAACTCTTGCTAGGGAACGCTCTAGGTAAACCTGAGAAAGCTGAATGCTTTTACTCGATATTCCCAATGCTCGTTGCAATGTTTCTCACAGCAAAACTAACTTAACATCAAACCCAAAACGTTGTGCTTATAACAGATGAAAATAAATTGTTTTATATTGTTATATTTATAAAAACATTAGAAATGTTTATAAGCACGTATTTTAGTCAAAGTTACATTTGCCTTTATTTTTAGGTTAGTCTACATTTAGGGGATGAGATAAGTATTGCATTTACCCTTATTAAAAAGTCCCATGTGCACAAAATTTGACAACCCCTTTGTAGGGAAGTAATAAAGTGATTAAATAAAGTAATTAAGGATGAGAACTTTTTTTTTATCTTTACACCTTTTAATACTTACACGGTAAAAAGCCACGTATAACCCATTTTGATTATCATCTAACTGCTGTGTACCCCTTTTGATATAGCTGTTGCTATATAGACTCTTCAGGCCAACTTATATCTTAGCTCCTAACTCCGTATACCTGAGTCTTTGAATATATTTTGACATATAAATTCAGATTCATCTGTTCTTCTGGATTTTAATACAATCCGTATGTTATGTTCATCCGGGGACTCAGGTAGCAAGAAATATATTTGTTTAGTTTAGATAAATGAGGTTTCTGCGAGAAAAAAGTGGGGATTTCGTTATTTACAAGATGCTTCAAAAGAGTAACAGTCTTCTATACAGATTTCCAAGAAGAAAGTTGGAAGTTATTCCTCTACACTTAACGTTTTATTTGCCACATTTTGTTTCCGCGGTGATGCACACGTTCATATAGTAACGTGAATATCTTATGGTCGTTTCTTTTGAAGTTTTATAGTGTAATTTTATTTTCCATCTTCTTTTTTTTCATGTAAGTTATACTTGTGTTCACATTTAATAATAAACACAATATTCTGTTACTATTATGCACTAAATATATTCAGATTTTTTTTATTTATTTAGTTTAATTTTCGGCTTGAAATTTGCTTTTTGGAATGAACATAAAATGTAGTGAACTTACCTTTGTTGTGTATAATGTATACTTGGATCTGGTTCATTGTGCTTTGTTTTTAATTTGTTTTATTTCAAGAAACGTTTTAATTACGTTTTGTCTGATCTATTTCTTGGTTGTTTGAATTTTCAATTAAATGACGCTAATGTATCGATGTATCATTTGTAAGCTTTAGTTTTGCCAAATAAACACGTATTTTTTTCTTTGTAATTCCGACTATTTTTCTTTATCCTACACTAATTTAATTTATTAATATCTTACATTCCCACCCAGGTCATAGTTCTACTTATAAGAGAATTATAGGTGTTAATTCTGTTGTTTTTTTAGGGGTTAGGGGCGCCCTGCTCGCAATCTGCTGGTCGCGGGTTCGAATCCCCATCCCACCAAACATGCTCGCCCTTTCAGCCGTGGGGGAGTAATAATGTGGCGGTCAATCCCACTATTCGTTGGTAAAAGAGTAGCCCAAGAATTGGCAGTGGGTGGTGATGATTAGCTGCCTTCCCTCTAGTCTTTCACTGCTAAATTAGGGACGGCTAGCTTTATATAACTTTGCGCGAATATCTCAACAATCCAAAGCTGTGGTTTCATAGAAATAAAATATTTAGAGACTTTGAATGCTGAAATACAAACCATCTTGAAATACTCCCCAGAATTATAAACACATGGCTATTAAAGGGGAAAAAATGAAAAGTTGATAACCAATGTTTTTATGGTGTTTTAAAGAGGATAAAACTTTTACTACAATTACGTCAGTAAAAGCAACAAAACAAGGTCCTGTTGTAAGAATCGGCGTTAAGAATAATTACCACGCCATACTTGGACTAGTTTTTCCTTCCACTTAGCTATTTTTCTACTCTGTTTATAGTTAGGACTTACACACACGAATAATGTATCTTTTTTTCTTCTTCTCATATGTCTGAGATAACGCTTGTTGATTAACTGTACTCAAACTGAGAACAGTGATAGAAGAATAAAGAAATGTTTGAGTGTTCACAATTTATGCTGAATACCGATTGGTAATAGACTTCTTTATTCTTAAACCCGCGAGCTAATAACTTTTCAAGGGCATTACTAATAATTGGCGTATAACAATAAATCCAGCACCTGGCATATTTTAATTAAACAGGTATGTTAGATTGAAAGTATTTGATAATTGCTTTTCATTTAGAAGTGCCTCCCAGAGGCACACAGGTATGTCTGCGGACTTACAAAGCTAGAAACTGAGTTTCGATACCAGTTGTGCTCAGAGTACGGATAGCTCATTGTGTAGCTTGGTGCTTAATTTAAAACAAACAAACATTTAGACATATTCTATGCTTCATACAGTATGTAATATATATATATATATAATACATTTCGTCATAAAATACCAAATTTATTTATACGTATGTCTGTAATATAAAATGCTATTATAAGTCGCACAACAGTGGGCTAATTATATTCTAGTCCTTATAGTATTAAATTTATACAAACAAATGGTTAGCGAGAATACGGGGGGTAGGGCGTGCTTACAAAAAAACAACAGGATCCGCCTTGGGATAGTTCCTCACTCATTGATACGGGTATCGTTTTAAACTTTATTTCTGAATATTGCTACTTTTTCACGTTGTGACAGTTTCATGTTTAACATTGTAAATATAGCTCAGTTTCTGGTGTACCAATGAAATTACTCAGACAAATTAACTTTAAGTTGTGACAGTTTCATGTTTAACATTGTAAATATAGCTCAGTTTCTGGTGTACTCAATGAATTACTCAAACAAATTATATTTTACATAAAGTATGTGTTGAATAAACGAACAATAAATTATTCCGTTTTACAGAAACGTTTTGTTTCGCTTAAGAACAATTTTGTCTTTCATGCACACAATTATTAAATATGTAATTCGCTTAGAAGTTAAAAATACAGGTGTACTTCGTGACCAGAAAAGCAAAGAGTTTTTCAGCGAATGTAGCCGAGGTTATTTGTATTCCGTAAGTATCATTCTTATAACTCTCAGCAAACGGCGCCATGTGATTTTATACTCTGGTTTAATTTATAATCCGTGCTCTCTCATTGTAACTCTTCATGAAATAAAAGTGTTATAACAGCATCAATAACTTTTTATTAAGATTTAAGAACTAGCTTATAGTGTAAAAACTCGTTTCAAAGAAAGCAGCATCTTGGGTATTTTACTGACTGCTGGTGATTCTTCAAAGGATAATTTGGAGCTTCTTAAAGCTATTGATACATTATGTTCTATGCTGGTCAGTTTCCATGTGAGAACTGTATATTTCCCACGCTTACAATAAGCACATTTGCTGGATACTGTTTTTGTTATAGTAATAAATGTAAGTATGTATTCTTAAACTTGTACTCCCAGCGATAAGTCTATGGACTTATAACGCTAAAAATCGAGTTTCGATACTAGTGGTGGGCACTGATATTCCATTTTACAGCTTTTATGCTTAACAACAAACTAATTTTTAATTTGTTTATTATCAGAACGTGTAAGAAATTCTTAAGATATATGTATATAATATGGAGACATAATAGATTTACCATGCTAAAGACCAAATTTGCTTATTTATGTAAAGCCGTCAATTCGAAGACAATTATAAAAAGATCATTTTGAAAGAGTTTAGCATTGCAATACTTTGGTTAATGTTTAACATTAGAAGATTTTAGTGTGAATAAATATATTTGACAACAATTAGAAATAAACATTATTGCAATACTTTGGTTAATGTTTAACATTAGAAGATTTTAGTGTGAATAAATATATTTGACAACAATTAGAAATAAATATTATTGCAATACTTTGGTTAATGTTTAACATTAGAAGATTTTAGTGTGAATAAATATATTTGACAACAATTAGAAATAAATATTATTGCAATACTTT